TATCTAATGCAACTGATGTAATGCAGCCTCCTACTCTTAGAGCCTCCATATGAAGCCTTATATGCACAGAAAAGACCTCAGGGTTTTAGAAGAAAAGCCTTACCAGTTCACTCCAGCTGAGAAATAACTGCGTCTTCATCTTAACTGAGCTGAAACTACACTTTACAGTGCAAAAACACAGAATAGAGCAACCCAAGACCAAACAGCAGGTGCAAGAACTTTCACTCCAGAAAGTTTTCCCCAAGGGCAAGGAGGACTCCAGGTTTTATATTTTGCATCCATCTTCTGCTTCATCCCTGGTAGGCTAAGGTAATTATATCCAAAGTTGCAAAAGCAGCTTAGATTCCTCCAGCAGATTTCATATCTTTTTTATATATATACACACACATATAGATATGAATTTATATGACACATATTAATTATTTTTTATATTTATAGTTTTAATAGGAGGATGAATCCAAGGTATAGGGTGAATTGCATTCTCTAAAAGCTGGAACTATAGCTGGGTTTCAAGTAGGGTTTATAGCAGTAATACAGCCTGGTTTGGGATTGGAAACTTTGCTCAGAGCTCTGCAGGACTCTGAAGGCAGGTGTGGGCATGGCGGTGGAGGACAGAAGTATCTTACTCTATATCCAGCTGCATGATATCAAGCTATACTTTTTATGGTGATATTTTGCTGACAATGCAATCCTGAAAGGCAAAGCTCAAAGAGAAACTCTCAAAGAAAGAAAAAAAAAACCAAAACCTGACATGCAGACATCATCTTCATTAACATTAGACAGTATGGGACCAAAGTGGGAGTTTGTGAAATTCACCTGCAAATGGTATAAAAAAACTGCAGCAAAACTACTAAAAGTTAAAGTCTGACTAAGGCTAGGATTCCTCTGGGCATTCTGAAGCCTAATGTAGGGCTGGATGTAGCCCTCAAGTAGGAAAAAAGGAACTGAACACAAGGTGATACAGCAGTATTTGCTGCTGCTTCGTGGGAGAGGTGTACACTTTACCTAGAAGGGCATCTCTGTATGGGGACTGTAACTTCACTGTTTTCAGCCTTGACTTGTGACCTTAGTTTAAAGGACTTGGACTCCTTAGTGATTGTGTAATGCACAAAAGTGCGTTCCACTCTATCCTTCCTGCTCCTTGCAGTGAGCTCCTCCAAGTCTGGAAACTTCACCACAAAATCCAAGTTGTATTGTGCTGATTGTTGCTTCACTACTTGAGTTTGAATAATCTCACTTGAGTAGGTAAAGCACAACCAACTCAAAGCAGCTATTCTAGGATAAAACTAAAACCAGAACAGTACAAAACAACCTCAAAATATCTAGGAGAGCTCCACATAGCTATTAGGTTCGAGCTTTTCGATGGGTGGCTTTGTTTGGAGAGAAGCTGTACAATACAGCTAGTCCAGTTTGACTGTACTTAGGAAAGAGATTCACTACCAATTTTTCCCTCAAAGAAACATAGAAGTAAAAAAACCCGAACTTGTTTAACTCTGCAAAACATGTATGCCTCCTACTAAAATCTGCTCAGTTGAAGGCTTACAAATTAGTCTCTGGAGGCAGGAAAGGCCATAAAAAGAAAACAACCTGACTTGCTTTCCAACAGTAATAAGTCTAAGAGATTGTAGGATTGTACAGAAGGCATTAAGTTATTGCCTGCACAATGAGCCCTCATTCTTAGGAACGCGGACTGCATCCAAAGCAATGCGTGCCGAAGCAGTGCAATACCTGCATTTTCTACCCTTTTGAGGATCCCAATATGAGCTCATTTACAGGTGAAATAATTAAGCTGACAAGTTTTTCTTTCCACATCATTATTTGATCAGTATTTAATGATATTATGTCCTTTAGTAAAAGCTCCTGGTAAAAGAGCACTGAGTAACAGCAGTTTTCTAAACCTTGACATTATAAATCTCACCATTTACAAATAAATACATCTGAAAGCATGGTACAGTACTTGATCTAGTTCCCCAAAAAAAGGATATAACTAGTAGGAAACCCAGAGATAATTTTACAGGAAGGAATTACAGAAGTGGATTATATGTTTTATGTAAGTCTGAATTTCAGCTGATAGTGAAACATGAAGATTATCCTAAACAAAAGCAGAATAAAGTACCTGAACTGGGAGAGAATGTCATCGTTTGCATTTTGCCTACACATGGCTTTACTTCTAACTCAGTATGGTATCAGGGGAAGTTCATACTACTGAGAAAGAGGCAATCTAAAACATGTAGTAGGGGTGTTCTGGATAGAGGGTCAGGGTGTCATCACTGATTAATGACTCTTGTGATGCAAATTAAGACAACTGCATCTTCTCTCATTGTCTGCTCTGTACTGATTAATGGCAAGGTAGGGAAACAGCTAAGGCCGAGAACACATTAACATTTTCTTAGAGAGCAGCCTTTATTCCTTGCAAATAGCTACTCCACAAATGAGAGTGAAGCATTCACTATAGCTGCAAGCTGAAGATCAAATTATTGAGGGTTTGGTTTTAGTACTAATGGTTTCAGATAGGAATCTAGAACGGCCAAAAGCAAGCCTGGCTGTATGATACCGTGTGAACGCTCCTCTGTAGATGTTACCCACAATCACAAAATTTCAGTCCAGAACGGAATCTCCTTTGAGTACCATAGAATAGTGATTGGCAAGCTGTGCCCCAGCACAGAACTTTGAATGCAAAGACATACATGTCTTCCCCCATTTCTTTCGAAAGGCTTGGTATGAGAAACAGGTGGAATGAGATTTTGATACAATAACGACTTTCTGCTATCACATTGGGAACAAGTACCACAGGAGGTTATACCCACAGTCTAACTGTCAAGATAAATGGACAGCGTGCCTATAACAATGACCAACCTTCATTTTTGCTAGTGACATTTGTTTACTTAAGACAGTCTACTAACCTCACCACCTTTGGAGCAAATCAGGAAGCTCTCACCTTCTGTTACTTTTAGACTAGAAAAGGCATCTGAGATCAATGATTGTGAACAGTTCCCTCAACCTGCACTTCTTGACCTTCTAATTCACAGTGTTTCCACTTGACATGTTACAGAGCCTAGAGCCCTTGCTTCCCAGGAAACTCAGAGAACCCAGCATCAGCTCTCTGGGAGCTTGTCCTGGATGGCTGACAGCATTCCGCCAAGCGAGGATTTGGGCCTTTGTGACTAAAATTAGATTACAAATTCTTCAGGGAAAAGACAGCTTTCCTCTAAAGGGAATCCTGCAACAAGCTGCTCTGTCACTGTAAAACAATGGTGATAGGTGGATTAAGGTAGTTGGCTAGAGAACGAGATGTGTCATCACTGATCATCCGACTGCCTCTAAGGGAAACAATGAATAACACTGGACAGTCAAGGTTTCAAGTAATTGAAAGTATCTACAATGTAATGAATAGACATCTGGCAACAGTATCCTGTTCCAGTTAGCACATCATTTTGGCCAGCTGGAGTTCAGCTAACTGAGGTTGCACTATAAATGCATTATAAAGATTTTTCCAGTATGCAGCTCCTTTAACTCTGGAGGTCTTCAGGATTCTTATATCAAATCCACTGCTTAAAAAAAAAAAAAAAAAAAAAAAAAGTGTAATGTAGTGAATCCAACCAACATATTAAATACATTAAAGCCTTAATCTTCCTGCCAAGGCTGGTCTGGGAGGTGGAATGTGTGGTTCTCTAAGACGGCTACAAATAGATCCTCTCCCACCAGAGCTGAAAAAGCCAGCTGAGCCGGCCAGCAAAAATGTAAAGTAGACATTAATCACAGCAGCCTGCACCTTCCCTCCACTTGCAAGCTCCGTGTACCAGCAGGAAGAAGGATGGAGAGAGCATCAAACACAACTGAGCCTAGACTGCTCTTACGCACTTCCTGAATTATTGCTAGCTCAGAGGCACTGTAACTAATTTGTTGCTATTAACTTCCTTGTGTGATGCATTTCAGCCAAAAGCAACACACATGCAAAGCACTCAACTGATTGGTTTGACTGAGGTTTTCTTTAATTACATGGTAAGAAAGCTGCTTTCCCCTCCACCCCCGCCCCGAGGAAAGACCTCAGAAGGACCATCATCAGGGTTCCTAACTGCCATCTTCAGTATCAAAATCTAAACCTCCTCTTTCAGCTTCTGTTATGCAGACTTACATATAAAGACTGATGCTTTCACAGCATGACTTACATATTTGGGAAATAAAACTAACCAACAAATCACCACACCTTTTTTCCCTAACATTTATTGTTAATGAACACGTGCTATTTGGGCTATCTTTGTTTCTGAATGTGTTTCCTTCCTAGAGCAGCAAAACATTTCCATCACACCACTCCTTCAGGAATTCCTCATTACAAGTTTCACAACAGTGATACAACTTGTCAATTCACTGGGCCACCATTCTGCCTTTGATAAAATGCCCAGTGTGATATGCCAGCCTCTGATTTACTGCTGCTGTCGCTGGTTTGTCAGAAATTTGAAGACCTTGAATGGAGAAGTGTTACATAGAAATCAATAGGAGCAGGTCTTCTTCACTTTCCAGTGCAATACAGAACATTTCCTACAAGCTCTGGAAGACTTTGAACTACCAAGTTTTAAGACATCACTATTATTAGGTACTTTACGGATATTTGAAGACATCCAGAAAGATTTCAGTAATAAATTTTCTATTCTAACCAATCTACAAATTTTTTTTAAAAATTCTTTAGAACGTTTCCATGATAGCTTTTCTTTAAGCTCAAAGAAGAAAAAAAAACAAACCCAATACCAAGCATGTAAAAGATTAAAAATGGTACAATGTACGATTTTAACGACTTAACATTCTCTTCAGAAATCACACATATGCTATTTATAAGAAAGTTGTGCCATATTTCATGCTGATAAAAATCCTTATATCACTTAATCATGTTCCTGAGTAAACAGTAAATAAACATGTAGTTCAAACCTAGATGTACGTAAGTAATTATGTACATGCACACAGGATTTATTGGTGAGCTACTTCAATCAGGACAACAGTAGTACCTTCTTTTTGCTGCAGTAAATCTGCCATTTCTTCTCTGGAGGGAGTGCAAACATAGCCTCTCTGTTCTTGTCTGTGAGATCCAGTTCATCCTGGAGATTGTGAAAAAGAAAAGAAAACAAAAACAGTCAATAGCTACATTGGTAACTTCTAATAGGTTGAGAGGAATCTGGACCAGGTGTGTCGATCAGCCTTCAATCAAAAGGCAGAGGACTTAGTGGCTCCCAAAGACTCCAAAGATTATTGGTTTCACAATTTTTATGTTGCTACTGCAAATTTTCCCTGGCAGAGCAGAACCTATGAAGAGAGGCAGCCTGAACAACTGCCATGTCAAACTTCTATTACTTATGATTAGTCAAGGATGGGAAAGATCACATGAAAGGCATGAAGCAAAAAACTCAAAGCACTGGCTTATGTGACACAGACACTTCTTACGACTCTTAGAGAAAGACTAAAAATTCAATATACTGTTTTCCTGGCCTGCAGTACCAGCTTGGTCTTCCACAGAAGGAGAACAGTGAAATCACTGTGTCTTTTAAACAAAGGTCACGAGACAGTTGTCTAGTGGCAGTAATGTCAACAACAACCTACAGGTTGAAACGTTTGTCCAGATATTTGTTCTCTAAACCACAGTCCCCAGCAAAAGACAACCAGAGTTTCAGAAAAAAAAGGATGTATCTCCACACAATGGTCACAACTGGTTGAACGAATCCGCAAATTCAGTCACTGTTAAGAAAAGCGAGTTCAGCGGAGCACACCCTTTAGGGGTCTAGCCAACCCAACATTTGTGAAATGAAGGATAATGCTGTAATCTGGAACTGACTCCCAACTCTATCAGAAGCTACCTCTAGATACACCACTGAATTCCCCAGCTTCGGTTCCTCTGCTGTAAAAGGTAAGTAACAACAGGCTCTCTTTCTATGCAACGCGTCTCTATAATCATCAAAGCAAGGACTGCTACTTGCTCTGTGTTTATTCAGCACTGACCAGAACAGAGCTCCAATCACAGCTGCCAGTTTCAGGTGCTAATGGGAATTAAACAAATAAGAACAGTCTCCATAGCAAGGAGCCTGCACAACCTGGAACAAATGAAGATATCTAAATGAGAGTTTCAGCAATATAAAGACAAGCTTCCAATAAGGTTTCAGTGAACCAGTTTTGGTAGTGTTTTCATTTTCCTATATACTTGAAAGTGTTTGGAGAAGCACGTGTCCAGGGGTCCAATATCAAGATGACATTGCAGCACTAAGAACGCTGCACATGCAGATTCTGGCACCCACACTAAACTTGCCCAAGCAGAGACAATACCTCTTTAACTCAGCCCAACAATGGCTCATTTGGAAAGCGTTCAGGGCTGAGAAACTTGTGAAAACAGTGAGCTAAATTGCACACTGAGCCTGGTAGCGCCTGCTGACAGATTTAAAAGCCCATAGAGATTTCAGCTGCAAAAAGGTACAAAAGAAATGCAAACAGTAACAAGGCGAGGTCAGTGCCAGCAGCCCAAGGTAGAAGAAGCTGGAGGGATTTTTTAAACAAGAAAAAGTTTAAAGGAAAAAAAACCCACAACTTTAGCTGTGCAAAAAGAGTGCAAACCATGTGGAAATGTTTAGGGTGAGTTTCCAAACAAGGGGGCAGCCAAGCGAGTCAAGAAGTTTTATCCTTGCTACACACAATTAGAAAGCTCAGGCCAGAATCACATTCTTGGGGGGAGAGGGAGAGTGAAACGACATGTAAGGTCTTAAGACAAGTGAAGGAATGCTGTTGGAGGTCAAGCATGTGGGAGGGAAAGGAGGGGCAGACAGGGTATCAGAAATGCCAGGTTTGGAGGAACCACCAAAGAGGCCAGAACATACATCTGAAACGAGCGGGCTGGGCTCAGCTGAAGTCTTAGAATTGTTATTATTATTTTATTGAACTGCTTAATGATCTTAGCTTTTACTTTTAATAAAGAGCAACTAACTTGGTTTTCTAATTCATACTGCTCTTTCCGGAGTCTAGTGGCAGAACAGAGAAGCAGGAAAAGCTCTTCCCAGAAACTGTGCACAAAACTGAATGATGATCTCAACCAATACAGTTCAAGGCTACCATTTCATCAAAAGAATGCTCCTATTGACTAAAACCACCCAGAGGGCAGGATGCTGCCACTTAGCACCTTCTAGACACTGCCCTGGCCATAGCAGTATCAGAGACATAAAAAGCACTCTGCCTTCAATGGGGCAATAAGAATATGCAACTTTCAGTCATGTAAGTTTGCATCCTGATAGCATGACATCTTTTTCAGGACAGAAGCCTAGAAAGGTAGTTCGAAGGGATGGAAGATCCAGTGGGAACAAAGTGCAACCTCACCCTACTTTGTTGTGGCTCAGGAGGGTAGATTAAGTCAGAATAACATTAGAAATCATCACATTAGTTCAGGTAACATAGTAACAGGGAAATTGCGCAGGGTTCCACCAGAAGCAGACACAAACACATCTGACTGGAGAACAGCACATGGTGGACAGATTACCCTTCCTTTTGAAACAGACAGCATTTGTCTTCATTAGAAAGCAAAATGCTGGGTTCTAACCCCCAGGTCAGATGGGCAGGCAGCAAGCATGAATATTCAGCAGTGAAAGAGACATCTTCTCGAGAATGCAAAGCAGCAGTCAAGCTCTTCCACACCCTTTCCTGAAATCAGTCTTCAGCAAGGAAGAAAGGAATGGGAGGAACTAACGAGACATACACCTCTACCTATACCATTAATGAAATTCCACCCTATAAAGAATCAAGAAATTCCTGCAAAATACAAGAGATGAACTCTTCTTAAGGAACGCTCCAAATCATTTTACCTCTCCCATCCCCAGCCTCTTTCTATATAAGAAGATCAGAAGACCACCATGACTGCATAGAAAAGCCCTGGATCTAGCTAAGAAAGAAGATTCTGGATCAGGTGGTCCGCTTTCCTATTTTGACTCAGGATCCTAACAGATGGCACATAAGGAAATTTTCTGCTTTGAAGGGAAGGAGGAGGAACAACAGAAAGAACGAATCTCACAGGGGGAATTTGCTCCACGAATAGGTCATCCTGACCCAATGAAAGAGGTAGATCTGCCAGTATGTAGAACTTCAGACTCCAGACTTAACTCAGTGACAGCAAGCAGCTATTGAGGGAGAAAGGAATTACAAAGGTTGGCAGGAAAGGGGAAGACCTACAAACTCTGAATGCAGTCATCAAGACTGGGGTTGGAGCCAGGCTAAGGAAGTGACATGACCTGATCAAACTCCCAGGGAGCAAACATCAAGGGCAAGAAAAAAAAGTCAGTCAGATCAAAGGGGAGAAAATGCCCTCCTCTATCACCTGTGCCAACTTCCCAACAGAAATGTAGTAACTCCTCTTCTATACCTTGGATGGGCAGCTCATTTCCAGCAATTCATGCCAGCATGGTCCTGCACAACGGAGCTCAGCCTCCTGACTCTTAAAATTACTTGAAGTTGCAAGTGTTCTCATGAAGCAGAGACTAAAAAGACATTTGAAAGGCTGGCCTGAGGGAGATGTAAAGTACCTCCAGTTAATATTCCTCACATCTCTCTCGTTTATCTATTTCCTGTTTTATTTTATTTACTGAGAGTGGGATACATTCAAGTTAATTTCACTTTCATGTGGGCATTTTTTTTACTTACACAGATTGAATTTCAATGATAAACATTTAAAATGTACTGGAGCTGGATTTGAGAACTGGACTGGAAATATTTGAACCTCAAGCCAAAAGGGAAGATGGCCTCCTTTCAAAATGGCTACAGCCCAAGGAAATAAGAGACAGAGAGAAAGAAATGGAACAAGAAGGGGGAATTGGTAGGAAACATAAAAATAGTATTTTGTGGGATTTAAAACCACATTATGTCCCTTGTTTTTGAGAACATTCATCAAAGTGTGAAAGCTGGATTTAATGCCGGGTAGCCCTCAGCTCAATAATGATATCACTCAAAGCCCTGGAAGAGCTGGACAGGAAAGCATTTCTCAGCTAGACGGGACAGCACTTTTCTTAGTGAAGTGAAATGAAATTAATATAGAGAAAAAGTAATTTTGGGAATGTAGAAGAGTGGTTCTCTTGGAGAGAGAACCACTGAAGGAGAACCTTTGATTCCTATCAAAACTACATCTCTTTACTGAACTGTGTACCACATCTCCACCATTCAGTCATCTGTGGAAAGGTGGGAAAGTCACAGGATATCTGCTTCTTCACCTGCTTCACCTAGCCTTGCAAGAAGACTTATATCATCCATAGGAATTTTGGAATTTAAATGAGGAAAATTTAAAATGGTTTGACAGGTAAACTTAGCGAGATACTGAAAGACACAATAAAACTTCCTATTTTCAACATACTCATGCTGAAGCCACAGCAGGGGTAGAATGGGAACCTTAAAACTATGACTACACAGGGTTTCAGGACTCCAGCACCTCTTAGCTTCAAGTCAGAACAGTGGAGACCAAGAACCTCAAACTTGGTTCTCCAAGGATATTTGAACCCTCATGGGAGATTTCCTTAGTTCCAGTTTCTCATTCTTACTTGTCCCAGTTCCACTGGCTGCTGGGTTTCCTGGTCACCAAGGAGCTTCCTAGAAACTTAAGGTCAGACAGCTGCTTCATTTTGTAAAAGACGTAAAACACCACCACAAAGTAACTAACCAATCAATCTTCAGAGGCTGGTAGGGTTAGTTTTTTGGGGTTTATTTTTTGGTTGTTGTTTTTTTCATTTTGTTTTCTCTTCATAAAAGTTTAATGAATCATAAATAGCATTTCCAGCATAATGAAGCACAGAATTCTGACATGATATGTTTTGTTTACTGCAGGCAATAACTTCATTAATATGGGCATAACACATATTTTGCCAGGAGGGAGAGGAGATTCTGTTTATTTTCTTATGTTTAGTTGGATACCTGTCTTGTTTCATCAATTCTTATAATTTTAGCTATAGATAGTTGAGTTATACTTTTAGTTTTTGTCTGTGGGTCACAATCTCTTACTTACAATATTCTTGAAAGCACATCTTTTCTATGAGCATCTGTCTCAGGCCTGTGTTTCACATTTAACGGCTTCTTTCATGATTGAGAG